CATTCTAGACCTGTTATATCCATATTTTCTTACAACTACTGACCCAATAAATGAATGGTAAAGTGTCCTGAACAGAATTTATTTTACCTACTCTCATTAATTCAGTAGTTCCTCAGTTTTGAGGACGTGACCATGTGATAAATAAACAGTAGCTATTTTCAGAATAAAGGGTTGTCTTCCTTCTACTGTGGTCACCAGAAATGGCCTTACTTCCAGATTCTTTTCAATTCCCTTGTACTTAGATGAAAACAAAACTACTAGGTGTGTTTGAGACAGGAGCTTTGAATATCAGTTCTGTGATCAGCTATTAAAGTAGCTCTGGAAAGGGACCTGGGCAGGCTGAATCTGAGACCAGTTGTGTGAGGTTCCACAAAGCCAAGTGCTGAGTCCTGCACTTGGGTCACAACAACCCCAGGCAGGGCTGCAGGATGCAGCAGAGTGCCTGGAAAGCTGTCTGGCAGAAAAGGACCTTGGGGTGCTGGTCAACAGCAGCTGAACATGATCCAGGGTGTGCCCAGGTGACCGATGGCCTGATCAGCACTGCTGTGCCAGCAGGAGCAGGGCAGTGACCGTCCCCCTGCACTCAGCACTGCTGAGGCCACACCTCCAATCCAGTGGAGAAGGGTCTGGAGCACAAGTCTTACATCTGAGGGAGCTCAGGGTATTCAGACTGGAGCAAAAGAGGCTCAGGGGGAGCCTTATGACTCTCTGAGTGCCTGAAATGTGGGTGTAGCCAGGTGGGATGGGTCTCCTCTCCCAGATAACAAGTGTCAGAACAAGAGGACATAGCCTCAACTTGCACCAGGAGAGGTTTAGACTGGATATAAGGGAAATTTTCTTTACTGCAACAATGGTCAAACATTGAAACAGGCTGCCCAGAGAAGTGGGAGAGTTGCTATTTCTGGAAGTATTCAAAAAGCATGTGAGATGTGACGTTAGGGGACAGAAATTAGAGGTTGACTTGCCGGTGCTGGGATGAGGGTTGGACCCATGATCTCAGAGGTCTTTTCCCATGTAAAGGACTCTGTGATTTGATAATTTCAGCTGTGTTCAATCACTGTTTTCCTGTCTTGTCTGAGGAAGTGCCTGACAATTCATTTTCTTATCAGCAAAGCCTATATACTTTGCTCATGCTTCTTTATGAAAAACACAGGCAAAGTCCCCAAGCTGTCACATGGTCTGTTAACTTAAATACAGTCCACATCTTTACTCTTATCCCATTGCATACTTTGATTTGCTCTCAGCTGGAAAAAATCAGATCTACCTACCCTATGATTTTGCAAACTGCAAGTCATTTGGATTGGCCATAATTTGCTGGAAGACTTCTTTAAATAAGGAATTTATCATGGGTTCAGTGTCAGCATCTGTACTCGATTTTTAAAGTACATTTTCTGAAAAAAAAATCTTTGAAGTTGTTGTCTATTTTTAGCTCTGTAATAATTGCAGCAGCCTGATTGGGTTCAGTTCCTTTGTGCTCAGGATGACAGTGCGATACAGCAAATTTTCCAAAAAAAAAAAAAGATTTTTTTTTTTTGAAAAAAAAAAAAAAAAAAAAAAAAAAGTAAAATTACATTTCTGCATTTCTAACAGGGCAAAGTAATTCTGTTTTTCCAACACAGTACAGCACCATGTCTGTACCTTGCTTAGGCACAGTCCTTCCTTTCAGTATTACATAGACTAAATACAAATTTCATCACAAAACAGAGAACAAAATAATAGACTGTGTTCAGTGCTTATCACTTTTGTTGTATCTCATTACTTTTCTAGCCTCAAGGCATTAGGGGCAGAGAACAAATGGTCTCATCCTGAGAGCTGCTAACCTGCTTGCCCTTCCCCACCCACCCTGCACAGCATTTCTGGTTGTCCTTTGGCAAGTGCTTCACATTTACTTTCTGGGACTTTCTAATTCTATTGAAAAATGCTAATACTCTGTTGATTTGACGCTCAGTCTCTTATTCCCGGTAATTTCCGAAACCATATCAACTCTCATGTGGTGTTATGACATCCAAGTACAGAAACTGCTTTGTAAAAAGGCATAAAAAGAGTTGTTGAGTAACAGAGTGATCTCTTAGTTACAAACCTGTATGATCTGTTAGGGCAGAAATGTGGGTGCTTCAGTGGCTGAGGTGTTACGGACATTTAGGTCCCACTTCCCAGGTGGCCACTGGTTTTGGGAGGTCATGCACTTAACAGACACCTCTCCATCTTTGAACAAGCAAGAGAAATCCAGCTGATCTAGCAGTCACTTGGCCGAGCTAGCTCTTCTTTACAACTTACAGCCACCTTCTTGGGGTCTCAAGATCATCTTCTCTAGATAGAATTTTTTCAGAAGTGTCTATTATGATGCATACTTCCCTAGGAAGTAATTTTGTTTTCTTGTTTGCTTGATATTATTTACATTAAATTCTTCAGAAATAATTTAGGTTGATTCCACAGAAATTCAGTGATATCTGACACATATTTTGTGCAAGCTCCTTCATCTCCTTCTGCTCTTCACAAGTATTTAAGTTTAGGACAAATTCTAATGATTTGTGCTTCAGAAATTTCAAATTGCATAAAAAATGTTCCTTTTTCTTAAAAGCAGAAATATTCTACAAGGGAGAGGAGGGACAAGGCAACTCAAAAAGGAATAGGACTGCAAAAATGAGCCAAAGGAAACCTACTTGATAGTTCACATGCAAAGGAGCAACTCTGGACGTGGTTAGGAAACTGCATCATATAAAGATACCTGATGTAGGAAAAAATACAGTCTGTCCAAGCTCCAGGACAAACAATATAGCAGGATGTCAAAGTGTGCAAAGAAAAAGCTGGAAATAGAACAAAAATGTGTCCAAATTAATGATGGTCAGGGCCATTATGGGCTGTTCTCATCCTCAGATCTCGAACAGCGTTTTCTAATTCAGTGCATTTTTGTTGATCCTCCCAGGTGCTGAAGTTCATCCCTGAGGCTGGCCATACCAGAAGAAGAGGCAGAATCAGGAACAACATGTCCTTGGTAGACATACAGCTGGATCACCATGAGCGTTGTGATTGTGTCTGCAGTTCAAGACCGCCCCGATAAAAAAGGAAAAACAAAGAAAGAAAAGAAGAAAACAGGCACACTAATTGCATCTTACCGGGCATTTACTTTCAAGCAGGATTGCTCTGAGGACCTTTACTCACTAATCATTTGAAATTTGCTACTAGCCTGCCTTTGCAATTAGCAAAAATCATTACTGTGCTGATTAGTGCCATGGCAACTAAACAGATATATCATACATTTATATATCAGCATCCAGGAATTTAGGATTGTGGTTTTCTGTAGCTAGATTCTGAGGGCTGAGATTTGAAAAGCTCAATTGCAGTCCTTAGGCACACAGTGCCCACTGAATTTAAATACCAGGTATGTAAGTATTTGTGGTAGCTGGCAATGAAATAGCATTGTGTTTCTTTTCACTCAGCAGTTCCTACACTCAAATCCTGCTCCCATTTCTACCTTCTCAGCTTGCCTGATGGTTGGTAGGGTTTTATGGTGGGTATAAATGAGGAGAGAATTTGTCCTGTAGGAGTGCAAAATGGTTTGTCCCACTCTTAGAGGGAACTTCCCAGCATTCTGGCCCAACAGAGTGAGATAGAATGCTTAAAATTCATCATTACATAAAATCACACATCAGTAAAATCAAGTCTCACTGTTTGTACTTGAGCAAATCGTATGCTGAAATTAGTAGATGCTTTGCATGAGCCAGGATGCTGAGGGTGGTAGGAGGTGCTGAGGCTGGCGCTTTTGCCGTAGTGGCTCCATGGCAGCCATCACCCAAGTGCTTCTGCAAGAGGGGGCTCCTGCCAGCTCCCCAGTTTAATACCTGTGGACTGTAACTGATTTTGGTCACTACCTACCTGATCTGGATTCCTGCCCCTTGCCCAGAGCGGCCCCACTGTTGCCCAAGAGGAGCCCCCTCTATACAGAGATGGGAGAGACAGCCCTCCCCTTGGATCCTCCTTGCATCAGTTCAAGGAGTTCCGTGCTTCCCTGTGGAGGAGATGAAGATAGGGCACTTGTTTGTTGAAAATATTGATGTGTTTTGAAGTTGTGTTACTGGGAAACAAAACTGTGTTTGAGATTTAATTATCATTATTTGGTTTGGGGTTTCTTTATTTGTTCTTTAACTTTGTCGTAGATGCATTAATCTTAGTTATCTGAGGTTAGTTGTCTCATTCCAGCTCTGTGTATTGCCATGGTTAAAGTGTTGACAGTGAAGTTCTTTTTTTTTAATTGCATTTTGCTGAAGCATGTTAACTCATTAAGTATGTCTGTCAGTCATCGAAAATGTGGACCATTTATTAACTTCCAGAAGCATATTACTAAATACCACCTCATAATAAAATTAGCACTTTAAAAGCTACAGCATAGCTTCCTATGCTTTTTAAACTATTACAAAAGTGCTCTAGCTGAAAAACAAAAAAGATCCTTCCAAACTAGCTTTAAGGATTTTCAAACGCTGCTCCAACAATTTAAAAAACATGCAGATTTAAGTTTCACAAAGAATTGGAGTTCTGAGCATTAATGTAACAGCAGGAATAGAATGGCACATTTAATGGCTGAGGTTTTATGTTTTATAGTAGACATAGGCTGCATTGAATCCTCTTGTCTGTGTGCTCTTGTCTTTCTGTCTCTCTGAAGGAGTGAAGTAGGTTGACAATAATGCATTATAAGTAGTGGAAAATGGCATGTGCTATAGAATACAAAGCCTTCAAACCAGTATGTTTTAGTACTCCACAGGTTTGTTGCAAAAGCACCCTAATGTTCTCATTTTCCCTCTTCATCAGCTCAAGTATTCTGTAAGTGCTTTTTTATAATTTCAGCAAAACTTTGCTGAAAGATCCCTTAGAAATGTTGTGTTACTTTCTTTCATGTACTTCAACCTTGGAGATTCAGAAAGTGTGGGGGTTTTATTATTTATATTAATTTTTCCTCTCTGGCTTCCAGATGTCTGTTTAAAAATGCTCCTGAATGCTTACTTGGGAAGTGATTCATCATTTTTCAAAGCAATTCACATTTAAAGAACAGCCCTGTAACCAAAGATTACCACCTTCATTTTGTAGTTCAGGACTATTTAAAGAACATCTCATTTTTTTTCTGTCTCTAGCTTAATAACAAGATTGACCCAGCCCTTCCATAAGTTTTAGCTAAGTTTGGAATAAATTTGCATGCAAGACCTTGGTGATACAGATTGTTTTTGCGATACTGCACTCTTGTTTGTATCTCTAAATGAATCATGCCCAAGCACTCTGATTTCATAGTTAGCATTGGTTGCAGGATACACAAGTTTCACAAGGCTTTGTGCTCTAAGTGGTCCTTTGATTCCCACCCTCCAAGGGAAACAGGCAGCAGGCAGTGCTGCACCAGGTGTGTGCCACGCAGCACTGCCTGCTTGCCCACCCCAACAGCCTTGGGTTGTGGGGGGCGCTTGTGCCTCCTCACTAGGGGGATGCAGCCTTGGCTGGGAGCTTGAGTTACCCCTAGAGGCAACTGGGAGAGGCTCTCCCATAGTGTGCCTTAGTCCAAAGGTTGAAATCACACAGTTTGGGAGCATTCCTTTCTCTCCTTTGACTAGAGGGAAAGATTAGAAATTTGATTTATACATCTACAGAGGTAGATAGTATGAATACTCCTTATAGACTTAACAGCTGAAAATTCAGCAGAGTTAGGTAAAGGCAGCATTGAATGCCAGGGTTCAACAGAAAAATTCAGTTGCAAAGTGAAAAAAAAGTCCTCTTACTTAACGATAGGTTTAGCTTCTTAAATATAAGCTAAGTTTGTCACAAAGTTTAAAGTATTACTCCTGGGCCACTTACTAATTAATGGAACCATTCACTTCTTCCTGCTGCCATACAGACACCATGCTCCCAGCCAGTGCAGGAGAGTCAAGGATGGGCTTCATGTGGCAGTCTGGGGATGATGACATACATGTGAACTAAGAAAAGTTCCCCAAAACCCAAGACCTGAAAGTCACCTGCAGTGACCCTGGTGAACCCAAAAACCAGAAAAATTTTTCCTTTTTATTTATTAGCAGAAATTGCAAAGGTGTATCTTCATACTTTTTTCCTCTTTTGTCTTTGTATAATTGTTGTTTACATAGAACTTTAATTTAAAGAGCAAAGATATTGAAAAAAAACTAATCTGGTTCAGTTTTATTAGTAGAATTGGAAACCCCCCAAAATAAATACATTATCAAAGGCAATTCAGAAAGAGTCCTAATTTCAAGCCAAACATTAGCTTTTTATTTACTATATTCTTCTGGGATAGAGCCTACTTTCTCAAGTGCAATCTATGTATATTATTTTTATCTCAGTTAAATGCAGCTTTCCTAGCAGTACTTTTTACTTGATGCAGTATGTAATGTGTCTTATCCTGATGAAAAAATAAATACTGCTTTTGAAATAAGATACTCTGAGTGATTATTCATATTTGGATGAAGAAAAACCTATTATTTACTGAAAGTCATTTCCACAACATGATACCATGCACACCCAGAAGGTCTCCTTTTGAATTTTAGCAGTCATTCCCAGGAGCATCAGGGAAGGACCAAAGTGCAGTTTTGGGATAATCGAGTTTAACCCCCGAGCTGGCAGAGCTGACAGCTTCCTTGTGGAGCAGCAGTAGTGTGACAGCAGCACAGCATTTTTTAGAGCTGGATATGGGCACCCCCCATATTTGGTGCTGATCTCAGCCTTTGCAGGCTTGGCTTGGCTCCAGGAGAGATGTCCACCCTTGTCTTGCTACAGCTGCTCCTTGCTGCCAAAGGAAGCTCCTGCAGAAGCTCTGCGTCACCCCAGCAAGGGCAGAGCTCAGCATCCAGTCTGTGCAGGACAGCTGAAGGAGCCTAGAGCCTCTTGAGCTGGGCAAATTGCAGCTGTGCTTCTGAGTTTGGGCATTTCCTCCAGCTTTGCCAGAAGCAACTTTTGCTGTATTTGGGTAAATAAAACTTCTAAAGCTTTGGTAACTACTTTCAATTTAAGGTTCTTGTGTTAAGCTGAAGCCGCCTTAGGCCTTCACTGCAGCTTGGACTGAATAAGAATATGAAATTTTTGCCCAATTGATTATTCACAAGCCAGATCCCCTGTCTGATAAGGGAAATACAGACAGCATACAGTAATTAGTCTGGGAACCCAGCTTTTTGGTCTGTTCTTGTGCAGGAGCTCCTTTTTCTGTACAGTAATGCTACTGATCTGAAACAGCCATTCAGATGAGCGTATTTATTCCTTTTGGTTTGGCCCTTGTTACTCAGAGAAAAAAAGTTGCTGGATTTTTTAAATTTTTTTTTAAGGCAGACAAAGGAGATATTTGCTTACAAAGGAATAATTTCTTATTTCTCTTGCATACAGTGAACAGGGCCATAGTTAATGAGTGGAGGAGATATTTTTTGACTTTTGGAAATGCACTGAATAAACATAGACAGCAACTCAGCAACTGAAGAATTTTCAAGGAGGGCATAAAGTTCTTCCCACCTGGCATTGCTACACACTTCCATAACTAATGTCTAGCTAACACTAGTTTGTCCTTATGCTCACAAGACAAGGAGTGTGTGAGTGAAAGCTTTAATAAATCTGAAACTTGGAAAGCAGCTCTGCATCTCTTCATGTCCAAAAGTATATGGGTTTCACAACGTCATTCAGGAGCTCGTCATCGCCTTTTTCTAAAAGTAGTGGGTTTTTTAAACATTTAGCTTCTCCTGTTTGAAGAGCACAGAATCTTTCTATAACTAATTTTAAGATCTATAAGAGCTTTAAAAATACTTGCCTGGAAATTCAGTTAAGATTTCTCTTGCTCTTGTCCAGTATGCATTGCCCATACACACTGCTGTAATGTAAATTAAGCAGAGGTCCAATTTGTACTTATTCTCCCAAGGACTCCAGTGCAGCACATAATGAAAATTTAGAAATCAGTATTCCTGTGTCTCATTCTAGGAGTTTTAACTTTGTTTATTGACAGTTTTGGTCAAGTATGCTGAAATAAACAGTCATAGTTTATTTGGTTGTTCATTGACAGGTTGTGAAAATCTGCTTTAAATATTCAAAGTCCAAATTCAGTTTTCCATTTATTTTCAAAGAATCATAGAATGGCTTGAGTTGGAAGGGACCTTAAAGATCATCTAGTTCCAAATACTTCTTCTAGAAATGGAATTTCCAA